ATCTCCAGGCACCACGAATTGAAATGGCTTTTTTTTCCATGCCACTCTTCCACAATGTTTCTGCCTTAAAACTAGTTGGCTATGAATTGGAACTTCTAACAAAAAAGGAAAGCCCTATCATCCAAAATAAACCCATCCTTAAATCTGCAAGAAATAAGTGTTTTTCCTAGTCTCATGAAGCTGACAAATACGATATCATTTCTTTGTATTTTTTCAGTTTTCCTCATTTCTAATGAACCTAGTAATTCAATAATCCTGTCATTTATCTTCTCAAATAATTACCAATATGGCTCAATGAGCCAAGCTCTTCAGATGCAAGAGGAGTGGGGATATCAATCTGGTATCAAGAGCACTGTGAGATTTGAGTTTGTTTACTGAAATTACCTTATAGTTAGGTAATGGAGCTCCAACTCCAAACATACCATGAGTAAGAGGCATACCTTCCCATAGCAATCCAGATAAAAGAGGTTATTTCCACTTACAAGGCTCAAGTAGAAATCCAAGATGGAAATGAGGTAGGGGCTGCCCCTGAGCAGAGGACTCACTCTGTTCTTGGCACAGGCAGACATCAGTTAAAGTCATGGTCTGAGCAGGTGCAATCAGTCATCTGTAACAGACACAATGGACCTGAGCCTGGTCAGCACTGTATTCCTGCTTCTGTGGAATCTGCAGGGATCTCAACTAGGAAATCAGAAGCTTGTATTCTGGTCCTTGCTGAGGGATCCTTTGGGCCACTAGTTAGGTCCTTCTTGTCTCCTACAGCCAAACTCAGTGTAATTTCTGTCTCCCTCCTAGAAACAACACACAGGTATTGGTTGTAAATAGACCCAGGGTAAGAGAAGCTAATTTGCATAAACAGTACTCTGTCTCCTCTTGGGATTGAGGACATATAAGATAGATCTGCAGAGAGCCTGCTTGATCAGAGCTCTGGGCTGTCTGCACCATGGCCTGGACCCAACTCCTCTTCTTTGTCATCTTTCACTGCAGAGGTCAGAACCCTGTCTTGATTCTTCAGCTCACTGAATCTGGCTTTCAGATGCATTCCTAAAATATTATCTTCTCTTCTGCTTTTTCCATAACATAATGTGTTTCTGTGTTTTCAGGGTCTCTGTCCCAGGTTGTGCTGACTCAGTCACCCTCTGCTTCTGCCTCCCCTGGAGCCTCAGCCAAGCTCACCTGCACCCTCAACAGTGAATATAAAACCTATGGAATTGCATGGTTTCAGCAGTACCCGGGGAAGGCTCCTCAGTATTTGATGTGGGTTAAGAGCGATGGAAGCTTCAATAAAGGAGATGGAATTCCTGACCGCTTCTCAGGTTCCAGCTCTGGGGCTGACCGCTACTTGACCATCACCAACATCAATTCTGGGGATGAAGCTGACTATATCTGTGGTGCAGATTACAACATTGGTGGGTCATATGGTTAAAACACAGTGACACAGACCAATGGGGAAGTGGGATGAAAACCATTTTCTCTGTTTAACAAGGCTGCCAAAAAGACTCAGAAATAATATTTGGCACACTTACTGTTCAAAATCTCTACATTTTGCAGTCTGAACTATTCAAGAGCTCCCTAGAGCTAGTTTACTGAATCAGGGTCCTATGGAAAGCACTTACCTGTAGTGGTGATTCCAAACGTACTACAACCTTTATTTCCCACATTTGGTCTGCTGTGCTGTCAGTGCATGAGGTGAAAGGACACAATATTTTGTCTTCACACACGGGAGTTCACTAAGTATGTCCTCCCAAGTACTGACATCAAAATTGGCTGATTTACCACATGTATAAATCTTCCATTAGAAACATTAAAATTCCTGCAACATGCAAGAAATAAAAGTGTACATAAATATTGACATACTAAAAACTATGAAAGGAACAACTTTAGATTTTTATCATATTTTCCACGCCTTTGTTTTGGGAGCAAAAGATGATAAAACAATTACCCTCACTACAGGGAAAGTGACAACTGATATAATATAATCTATGGAGTAAAAATGTAAAAGCATAACCAGCACATCCAGTAAAGTCTCCTGGGTAGTCCCAACCGTGAACTTCAAATTGGTTTTGTCATTATATTTTTAAAACAGGTGAATGGAGAAACATTTCATGAAGCTACAGGGACAGCCTCAGAAAACCTGTCCTGACATACAAGGAAATGAAGTTAAAATATTGCCTAATCAGCATCTTCAAGTTACTGAACAGGTACAGAATTTTTGCAGAAATCTGAAGAGAATATTTAAAAATGTAATCTCTGTAACCACTGGTTGCTCAGTGTTTTCTTTTTTTTCTCCCTGTCCCTCTCTGTGACATTCACACTAGTGCCAGTGTATCTTTAAAGATCCACAGCAGGTCCACAAAACAACAAAATGGTTTTCATTCAAGCAACCAAATAATGGATTTGAATACTCCAAGAAGACAGAACCCCAGACAATTGTCTTCATGTGAACTTTCTGGTTGCTTATGGAAAAGCCTCATTTTTGGTATTTTTATTCGTTTCAGCAGACGAAGTATTATTTAGCTGAGCAGTCGTAACCTCAGTGTGTTTTCAGAATAAAATACAGAATCAATAAACATTGCACTTGGCTCAGCCCATGATTAGACAGGGACAAAAGAGTCTGATTAAACCCAGAAAAGAAAAACTGACATTTCAAAAGCTGTATTGGTTAGAATTATCTAAAGGAACAGGATAAGCAGAATATTTATCACTATATATGAATTTATGAAAAGGATTTGATTTGATTTGATTTGATTTCAACACAAGAGGCTGGGTAATCCACCATGGCCATAAGGACCAGGGAGAGCCAGAGGATCCAGTAGCCTCTCAGTTCAAGATGTTGGAAACTCTAGAATTTAAGGGACCGCTACTGTGCTTTTTTGCAACATCCACAAAATGAATCAGTGTTAGAGTATCATTCTAAAGCTGAAGACCTGGAACATCCCTGGAGTGTTTAGTTCTGCATGTTGTCCTGGAAATTCACTTGTTTGAGTGCACACTGAAAGCCTGAAGAAGATTAAATTTGATGTCCCCAGAGATAACAGCAACAAAAGACACGGGAACTAAAGAAAAATCAAGCTTTCTACTGCGCTCAACTTTCCTCTTCACTTCTCATTCCATCTGTGCTGCAAAGCCTACTGTATGGTGTCACCCAAATCAGCACGAGTCATTTCCCCTCAGTCTGCCATTCATCTTCAGAAAAGTGGCCAGCTCCTAGATAACTCTAAATCCAGTCAAGATTACCATCAAAATTTACCAACACAGAGGTAAACAATGCATGTTGAGCTCTAGCATACTCTTGTGGAAACAGAATCCTACTCAGGTGCTCAGGGTTATGTGCATATCCAGGTAGTAAATGAGAAGCTTCTAGGCTTTCTCCTCTGGCTGAAATTGAATGTCTGTGCAAAAATAAATGAAGCAAGACAGAATCACATGTTTTAGAGTTATGTAGTGTCTTGACACATGCAGGGACTTTGGCAAAGGCTGAGACTGATTGTTTCTAGGTGTTTAAATAAATATCTGTGCAACATTGGGCTAAGTCTGCATACATCTGATTAGCCAGGAAACACACAAACAAGGAATTCAGAGTTACAGAAAACCAGTCAACAATACAACATTAGTAAAGTTTGCAGTCAAAAGTAAAAGCTGTGTTGAAAACAACAATAAATTTTTACAAAAGCTATATAATTTCTGTGGTTATTACATTGTGTAGATTCATAACTCTACTTCTCAAATTTCTCATATATATAGTATTTTATTAAAATCTTATAAAATTCATATATATGTTGTATTTTATTTGTTCCTACTAGTTTCCTGGGTTCCAATGTGATATATTCATATATGCATATAATACATTTGATCGTGTACACACTCACATTGCTCTGCCACACTGCTTACTCAATTCTGCATATTCTTTGTTCTTTGTCTACTAACAGTCTATTTGTGACTATTGATCCTGATAGATCAACTTCATTTGGTAAAGAGATACCTAGCATGCTTGTTTTGTGTCAGTGGGTTATTGACGCATCATCCTGGATACACTATATTAGTAATGGTCAACTCTTAAGTGCTTCAGTGAAAACAGCCCAGTGCCACATGCACACCATAGGTTCCCCACCACTGCCCATGGTCCACCACTCCTGCACCTCTGGCTCTGGTCCTCTGCTCTGCTTCCTAGCCTGTATGGACTGGTAACTCTGCCTACTGGCACAGATTCTTCATCATAATGGCATAGACTTTCTAGCTTCTATCACTGACCTTTGAGCCTTCCCATCACTAAATGCTTTCACAGGGAGGTGTGTCCTGTTTGTCTTGAAAAAAATTCAATGGAAAATTAATAGAGAAAACAAAGGGACCAAACGCAGGTATCCTCTCAGACCATTAACACACGTGTGTTGAATTCTGCAGTTTACAAATGCCTAGGAAACAAGTGTAAAAATCACCTGGCAAGCTCTAGGAAAATCACAAGCTAAATGAAGAAAGACCATCCCCAGTCACCAGCACTAAAATACGCAGGTGCTAAAATAGTTCTGTCATAGAGATTTTTGAAAAACAACCAGAAACGTGGAGTCAGATCATTGTCTGATTGGGACAGAAATGCTGCACTGGATAGCCTCTGAGCCATGGATCAGATGTGCATTGTGACCAGCAGAGAACAGTGTGGGGTGTCCTGTGATGATCCTGCACAGCCTCATGGAAAGAACTATTCACAGAAAGGACCTAGGCCAGAACACGGAGTCCAGTGCTGCCATGTTAGCAGCTCTGACATTACTTGTGGCCTTACAGAGCACTTTGAGCAAGGTTTTGTCTATTTTCAGAAGATGCTTCCTCTCAGGGCTTTCAATAAATAGAAATCAAATTTTCTTCCTTCTGATTTTACAGTGTGAGCTGAGCTCAAGCACCAGACTCAGGGAGGAACTGGGGCACACAAGATGGAAGCACATTTGCATGAACAGCTCCTCCCCCAGGACCTGGAACAGAAAAGGCAGCCTGGGCAACTCAAGCCACTGCTGGGATCAGAGGGCTGCTTCCACCATGGCCTGGACTTCTCTTTTCATCCTGGTCCTCTCTCACTGCTCAGGTAGGAATGGACCACGCAGTCATCCTGCAATTTCACAACCTCTGCTCTGAGTCTTGCCAAACTTTAGCATGGTCACTGTTCCCTAATCCAGCATGGTCTGTATTTGCAGTTTCCTACTCTCAGGATCTGGTGACTCAGGAACCCTCACTCTCTGCATCTCCTGGAGCAGCTGCCAGACTTACTTGCACCTTGAAAAGTGATATCAGTGTTGGTAATTACAGAATAAACTGGTTCCAGCAGAAGCCACAGAGCCCTCCCCAGTTTCTCCTACACTACTACTCAGACTCAGATAAGCAACTGGGTTCTGGCATCCCCAGCCGCTTCTCTGGTTCAAAAGACACCTCAGCCAATGCAGGCGTTTTGCGTATTTCTGGGCTGCAGCCTGAGGATGAAGCTGACTATTACTGTGGCATCTGGCACAGCAGTGCTCATCACAGTGACACCCATGGATGGAGAAGTGGCACAAAAACCCCAGCCTGCCCTGAAATGTAGACTGTGAAGCCGTTTAAAATGTAAACATAATTTGTGCCTACACTAAGTATACTTCAGTTTAACTACAAAGCAACAGCATTCATCATCCCAAATTACCAGATAATATTGCTAGAATCTCAGGAAAAAGAATACACTGTGATGGCCTCCAAATTTACTTTGTGGTACAGTGACTTTAAAATGATGTGGTGCTGGCATTTTCATTTTGAACATAAAACATAAGATCAGCCTTTTCAGGTCTCCTAGTCAGTGTGTGTGGGCCATCCCAGGAGGAAGGTGGTCTTGGGAACAAGGATTCTACACTTACAGGTGTTACAGCAATGACCTACCCTTCCCTTACAGCCAACATTGTTCCTTGCTATCCCTGTCTCAGTGTGTCTAGCACCAAAATACAAATTGGTGTGGGTGAACCCAGGCTCAGAAAAAATTGCAAGCACAGAGCTACTCTGATGGACTTGTAATCACCTAAGCCCTAGTTGAAAAATTAAATAGATAGGCTTGAGGTAGTTGGCAGGGACCCAGGGACAGAAAACCACATTGTGGGACAAGGAAAAGAGAAGGGAGGAATCCACCAAGGCTTAGACTGCATCGGGCCAGTGCTGAGAGTTGACTGTTAGGTAAGTTAGAAGAAACACAAATGGGTAGAGGGAGAGAACAACAATCATAACTAAATAGTTATTTCTATATTTTTAGGAAAACTATAACTCCAATATGCAGTCAAGTTACCCATAGATTTTCCTTATCAATATTTCCATGTTTTTTTAATTGATTTTTTCTGGTTGTATTACGCCAACAATTTCCTAAAGATACTCTAACTCTACAAATTGTTTTGTTGATTAAAGGCAGAATTCTGATATTAAAGGAACAGATTCGGACAGTACACAAACATTTTAGGCAAAATTTCTTATATTATTTGTCAAAAACATTCTTAGGGCTATTGCCCTTCCTTTGTAAAATGAGCCATTTTCTTACAAATGAGTCACCTTCTTTCCCATGGACAAAGACCAAGGTGTAACTTCATATATATTCACAAATTCTACTGTGTGAATAGGCAAAATCACATATGTATTTTCAGTTCCAAATCATTTTGTGCCTCTCTCTTGAGAGAAAGGGAGGGTGCACTTAATTTTTGTGTGCATACTTACATTTCTGTCTATTAAATTCCTCAGTGTCCTTTAGTAAAACATACAAAATAAATTCTTTCTCCATGAAAAATATGCAGGCAGTCACTGAACCTGAAGATTATTGTACAACTAATATGAAGTTATATTTTTCATCACCATATTTAGAAACACTCTCTGGAACCTAAATGAATTACATAGCTATGATTTCCACACAGCTGATGTCATTTGGGAACATAGAAACTCACCTTGAGGGATTTATAGAAAATCATAGGTGGGGAAATGAGAACTCTACTTTTTTAGTCAACAGCAGGTATTAAAGTAGATCGGATATCATTTGGAAATCACAAGAAGAAATGTCTTCCAAGTTTATGTATCGTGTTTTAACATGAATCATTGAGAAACTCAGTCCCTAAGGACATGCCCCACCTCAGAAACAACTGCAGAAATACGGGCTTCTAGTTCACAGTGGTACTAGGCAGTCCCATTGTCTGTGATGCAAGACAATAGTGAGTGACCTGCTGAATGTCACAAAGAATGAGGAACTTCCTGTGCCTATTTGTCCTATCCTATTGTGTGTTGTCATTGGGCGCAATCTGTCTCTCTGAAAGTGATACCATTTCTCAAATGTAATCTCTCCTGTATAGTTTTTCCTCTCTTTCTTGTTTAAAGTTATGAAGTCAGAGGATTTTCCTTTTAAATCTACAGAACTGATCAATGAACTTTAGTAACTGAGCTGTAGCTACAATGAAAATCTTTCTTACTGAAAGAGTAAGAGCTTAGTAATTTGCATTGAGCATCTATGATCAAATCATGCTTCCCTTAGCCCTGAAATGGGTTAGTGAGCCTTAGAGAAGCAACCAAAGAATAAGGCTGAGTATCTGAGTGTTCAGGGGCATAGGAGACAATAGCAGAGTGCAAAAGAGGTAGAGAGGTAGTGTTGGACCAAGCCTTAGCCCTCTGCTTCTGACCAAATGACTATTTTGGAAGTCAGTTAATTTCCAGTGCAGATTTACATGTTCCCTCTATCCCAAGTGGGGCAACAGCAAACGCTTCAGCCCTGGCAGTCATTTCAGATCACACATGCATTTCTTTCCTGAAGCCATAGTCTTCAGTGTGCCACAAATTCAAAGGAAAGATTACGATACACAGTTTCAGAAGATGGAAGTTCCATGTCAAGTAGCTCACGCTTAACGTAATTCTACTTGTTCTAAAATCTGAAACTAAATTCTTTGAAAGGGAGGTATTTTCTATTTATCCTGACAGAGTTCAAAAGAAAATTGATAGAGAAAACCAAGGAACCCAAAGTAGGTACCATGTCACATTATTAATCAAACTGTGTGAAAACTCAAGCTACAAATCATGTATCTTACAATATTTTGGAAATAATGGGAGAGATAGTTTGGGAGATTATTTGAATTCTCCCTGCTGTTTTGCAATGTAAGATATACACAAATTTTGGTTTTATTTGCCTTACTTGTCTTTGTTCACTCAAAAGAAAATTTGTTCTCTTGTTTTCCTCTTCACTGTAAGAGTCTACTGTGTCTATGTCTTCTATTGGGAGCAGGATTTTAGCCACTCTCTTAGAAATATGACTGTGTAGTAGCTATTGTCATTGTCAAATTACTTTATGAAGCACACAAAAATGAAATTAAAATCCTATGTTACAGAATATACTTAACACAACTAGAAAATACAAATAGTCATGAAAGCTCACTAGAGGCACTGGGAGCCTTCCCAAGTATTGGCAAAGCCTGAAAAGGGCACAAAGGTCTGGCTTGTGCTCAGAGGTCTGAGACAGAGCTCAGAGCAGGTGCTTCCTCCCATGAGATAACACAGAATTCACCACACTTGGCTGGGCTGTGCAGAGCAGGTCTCTGATCTCAGGCTCCTACAACTGGTGGTGGTGATGGTGTTGGGAAAAGATTCATATTGTACATGACACAGTAGAACAATAGATAAGAACTGAGGGAGGAAACAAAAATGGATGATCCTAGAGTGAGCAGCAGCAGCAGGTGCTCAAGAATTCTAATTTTCATTAGAATTCACATTACTTTTATGTCAAAAATAACCGTACATGGAAGTAGTTTTTAGTAACAATGAGAGTAAGTGTGGACAGTAACATTTTTTCCCTAGTAGCACCAAATAGCTCTTCTTTCCCCTAGACTTATTCTTACTCTTAGATGTATTTACATCTGACCCTCACCTGCTGCAGCTCTCCTTCCTGACCATGTATAAATATCAAAATCCATGTTCAGGTCATAAACCTACAATTCACACACACAATTTACAATCAGGGTTGTTTGGAAATACCAACACTAAACTCTGGCTCTCTAGCTTTCATTCCTCCCAGGGTGATGGCATATTTTTCCTCCCACCAGATGGCAGTGTGGGGTTTGTTGTCAAGAATCTGAAGGATGCGGAGAAAAGGCCCTCAGGCTCTATGTGAGATATATTCCTGAACCAAAGTCTTATCTCAGTTTTGGAGATTTGTTCCAGCCTTTATTTTAGATATTGAATCTCACCCTCATTTTCAAAGTCCTTCACACGACAGACATGCATTTACAATACAAGGCTTGCACACTCATCTTAGGAACAGAATAGTCTATGCTTCACAGTGTACTTAATAAAACCTGCCCAATCCTACAGCAACCTGTAGCAACACTGTGACATTTCCAACATGCATTAAGGATGAAGCTGAGTGCCATCACGTGCTCTGTGACCGCACTGCTCAACACAGGGAAACCCACCTGGTAAGGCAAGACATGAACAGAGGTTTGACTAATCCTGAATACACAGAGGATCATGTGACCAGACAGTGGATACTCCAGCAGAGTCATATTGTCCATAGAGAACAAGTGGATTGAAAGTATCTGAACTTATTTTTCATATTTCCTTCCTAGTGTGAAGGATACACTTGAGATATTTTATTTGAGATGTTTCATAACGAAACAAATTTAGTTATTTCTTTTCCCTAAAACTACAATGATTAAGGTTTAAATCTGAAGTCAATGCATTTCCTCTATACAGTATCATCTTTAGTAATGTTATTTTTGCATCTAAGAGAAAATAAAAGCATCCAACCACATTTAAGTGATATTAAGTTACATTTTATTAAGTTTCATTTTAATAGAAAGGAATTCTATACAACATTGAAATATTAAAATCTGTGAAAATTTGGAAAGAATTGTATTCTAAATTTTTGTGTTAAAAAATCTCCATATAGTAGATATGGTGAGATGCCAACCTTCAATACCACATAATGTGACCTCTCTAAAACACGGTGTTATTCCAGATATCATTAGGATGAGGTGATGTGAGAGTAATGTAGCTAATACACTGTGTCTAAGAGCATGCATAAGAAGCTGTGCTGAGAAGCCTGGTATACAAAACAAAGCAAAGAAAAATGAAACAAAAATGACAAACATCCCACTCTGGATCTTTTTATGTTTGTGAGCACTAAAAGAGATGCTGCCTTTTTCAGAGAGAAATCCTGAGTACATGAACACTGGAATATAAAGCTAAACACCAGTCCTTCCCCGATGCAATGTGCATAGAAATCATGTGAGGATTTTATAAACTAGATTCCATTCACTAGGACTGGAGTGGATCCTGAGTTTCTTTCTTTTGTAGTTGATATTCACACTCATTCTTCTTTTGTGAAAATCTCTAATCCCTTCCATTCCTAATGTCCCAAGTTGATGTCTTTTATTTTAATGCACATGACAATCTAGATTGCCAAATTGATTACGGTGACAGAATTGGCTGGAGGGAGGTCCATTAGCAAAGTCCATCTTTTGAAGCATGAGGATGGGTGATGGATCTTTGACCTTGTAGATGGTATCTTGTTCCTGGCCCCTTTCTCATGGAGGATCTCCCCCT